CTCCCACGCGCGTCTTCGTCTGGCAGTGACGTCACCCTGATCCCCCCGCTAGCCCCCACCCTCAGTCCACTCAGCCCCCACCCTCATCAGCCCGCTAGCCCCCCCCACCGCGAGCCCCCACCACACGCGAGCCCCCACCCATTCTATCCCACCCAAGATGCGCCCACGTGGCTTCCACGCGCCACCTCGTGGCCAATGCTGAGACTGAGGAAGTCCGCGGGGCTGTGTGGAGTCCCGTTTCGAAGCTGATTTTGTGGTCACCAGGTAACGCGTGAAGAGACCACGAGTCGCATTTGCAAGAGCGAGTGAATGAATGAGGTGGGAGTGAGTGGGTGAATAATTCACGAGTGAGGTCGAGTTGCGTTTGGTTCACGAAATGAGAACTCAAGAGGCCAGGATAGGGAAGTCAAATTCGCAGGAATTACCTGGAGCATCGGCCAGTTGGGGGCGATGATTTCAGCGTGCCGTCCCAATTGCGTACCGCGCTACCATTTGCGAGGTGGTGATGGGGTGGGTGGTGAGGGGGAGGGTGGTGATGGGCAGGGTGGTGATGGGGTGGGTGGTGATGGGTGGTGATGGGGAAGGTGGTGATGGGTGGGTGGTCATGGGGTGGGTGGTGATGGGCAGGGTGGTGATGGGGTGGGTGGTCATGGGGTGGGTGGTGATGGGGTGGGTGGTGATGGGGAGGGTGGTGATGGGGTGGGTGGTGATGGGGTGGGTGGTGATGGGGAGGGTGGTGATGGGGAGGGTGGTGATGGGGTGAGTGGTGATGGGGAGGGGGGTGATGGGGTGGGTGGTGATGGGGAGGGTGGTGATGGGCAGGGTGATGATGGGGAGGGTGGTGATGGGGTGGTGGTGATGGGGAGGGTGGTGATGGGGTTGGTGGTCATGGGGTGGGTGGTGATGGGGATGGTGGTGATGGGGTGGTGGTGATGGGGAGGGTGGTGATGGGGTGGCTGGTGATGGGGAGGGTGGTGATGGGGAGGGTGGTCATGGGGAGGGTGGTGATGGGGAGGGTGGTGATGGGGCGGTGGTGATGGGGAGGGTGGTGATGGGGAGGGTGGTGATGGGGAGGGTGATGATGGGGAGGGTGGTGATGGGGTGGTGGTGATGGGGAGGGTGGTGATGGGGTTGGTGGTCATGGGGTGGGTGGTGATGGGGAGGGTGGTGATGGGGTGGGTGGTGATGGGGTTGGTGGTGATGGGGAGGGTGGTGATGGGGTGGGTGGTGATGGGGAGGGTGGTGATGGGGTTGGTGGTGATGGGGAGGGTGGTGATGGGGTGGTGGTGATGGGATGGGTGGTGATGGGGTGGGTGGTGATGGGGTGGGTGGTGATGGGGAGGGTGGTGATGATGGGGAGGGTGGTGATGGGGTGGTGGTGATGGGGAGGGTGGTGATGGGGAGGGTGGTGATGGGGTGGGTGGTGGTGGGGTGGTGGTGATGGGATGGGTGGTGATGGGGTGGGTGGTGATGGGGAGGGTGGTGATGGGGTGGGTGGTGATGGGGAGGGTGGTGATGGGAAGGGTGGTCATGGGGAGGGTGATGGGGTGGGTGGTGATGGGGAGGGTGGTGATGGGGTGGGTGGTGGTGGGGTGGTGGTGATGGGATGGGTGGTGATGGGGTGGGTGGTGATGGGAAGGGTGGTCATGGGGAGGGTGATGGGGTGGGTGGTGATGGGGATGGTGGTGATGGGGTGGGTGGTGATGGGGACCAGGGTGGTGATGGGGAGGGTGGTGATGGGGTGGGTGGTGATGGGGAGGGTGGTGATGGGGTGGGTGGTGAGGGGGAGGGTGGTGATGGGCAGGGTGGTGATGGGGTGGGTGGTGATGGGTGGTGATGGGGAGGGTGGTGATGGGGAGGGTGGTGATGGGTGGGTGGTCATGGGGTGGGTGGTGATGGGCAGGGTGGTGATGGGGTGGGTGGTCATGGGGTGGGTGGTGATGGGGTGGGTGGTGATGGGGAGGGTGGTGATGGGGAGGGTGGTGATGGGGTGAGTGGTGATGGGGAGGGGGGTGATGGGGTGGGTGGTGATGGGGAGGGTGGTGATGGGCAGGGTGATGATGGGGAGGGTGGTGATGGGGTGGTGGTGATGGGGAGGGTGGTGATGGGGTTGGTGGTCATGGGGTGGGTGGTGATGGGGATGGTGGTGATGGGGTGGTGGTGATGGGGAGGGTGGTGATGGGGTGGCTGGTGATGGGGAGGGTGGTGATGGGGAGGGTGGTCATGGGGAGGGTGGTGATGGGGAGGGTGGTGATGGGGCGGTGGTGATGGGGAGGGTGGTGATGGGGAGGGTGGTGATGGGGAGGGTGATGATGGGGAGGGTGGTGATGGGGTGGTGGTGATGGGGAGGGTGGTGATGGGGTTGGTGGTCATGGGGTGGGTGGTGATGGGGAGGGTGGTGATGGGGTGGGTGGTGATGGGGTTGGTGGTGATGGGGAGGGTGGTGATGGGGTGGGTGGTGATGGGGTGGGTGGTGATGGTGTTGGTGGTGATGGGGAGGGTGGTGATGGGGTGGTGGTGATGGGGTGGGTGGTGATGGGGAGGGTGGTGATGATGGGGAGGGTGGTGATGGGTGGTGGTGATGGGGAGGGTGGTGATGGGGAGGGTGGTGATGGGGTGGGTGGTGGTGGGGTGGTGGTGATGGGATGGGTGGTGATGGGAGGTGGTGATGGGGTGGGTGATGGGGCAGGGTGGTGATGGGAAGGGTGGTCATGGGGAGGGTGATGGGGTGGGTGGTGATGGGGTGGGTGGTGGTGGGGTGGTGGTGATGGGATGGGTGGTGATGGGGTGGGTGGTGATGGGAAGGGTGGTCATGGTGAGGGTGATGGGGTGGGTGGTGATGGGGACCAGGGTGGTGATGGGGAGGGTGGTGATGGGGTGGGTGGTGATGGGGACCAGGGTGGTGATGGGGAGGGTGGTCATAGGGTGGCTGTGACACAGTAACACGCTTCACGTGACTATTGACCCACACAGACTCCTCAGGCTGCCCTGTTTGCGAGTACTCGGGAAGGCACCTCTCATGGCGCACCGTTGGCTACGTACGATGCGAAAGAAGTTCACCAGACGTACAAGGCCAAAATGATGCACGGGTGTGGCCAGAAGCACGCAGGGCCACGCAGGGCCGCCTTTGCCTCCCCAGTTGCGAATGTTCCCCACACCGCGCCATGCACCCGGTTCTTTACGCTGAATCGACGGAAGGGAAAGCCCCAGACGACATCCATCGCCACGCCTGGTGCCGTCAGGACCGCGAGTAGAACACTCGGTGCCTTGGGGCCCGTGGTGTGAGCGGTCACTTATTGAGGTTGTTTTCTTTGAAGGGCCGTTGCCCGAAACGTCGCCTGTTATAGACGGTATTCGAATCATGATGAATAATCGGATCGCGACCGTTGAACGGAATCGTGATAATTGAATCGCCCACGGGGGTTGAGAGTTGCATGCCCAACAGCACAAACTCGGGCTGAAACATTAACCGATTCTTCATTTGATCGAGATTTACAATCGATAGAAAAATGAATCGCTGGAAAATCGTCATCGTTACACATTTCCCGCACAAACCACTGTCGACAAATAGAATCGATTCCCACATTGAATCGCGAACCACGCAATCGACTTCCGTCAAATAATCGAATCGCCTGTGGGGGTAGGTGTGGTGGAGTATGGGGGCGGGTGACTCCTACAGGCCACCATCACGTGCCGCACGTCACGTGTCACGCGGGGGGGGGGCTCACAAGGAGGGGGGAGTGTGGGGGGGGGGGCTCGCGGGGGTGGAGGGCGGGTCGTGGGAGGGGGAGGGGCTCGCGGGAGGGTGAAAGGTCGCGTGCCGGCGGAGGCGGAAGTGACGTCAGAGTTTCCGCACGGCTGTGGGGTGGATTGTCACGGGGAGAAAGGGAGAGAGAGACACGGGGAGAGACAGAGAGAGACAGAGACACACAGGGGGAGAGACAGAGACACAGGGGGAGAGAAAGGCGGGGAGACACAGGGAGACACGGGGAGGAGAGAGGCATAACGGGCGGATAGAGAGACATTAACAAGAGCAGCAGCAACAGCTTCGCCGCCTCCACCACCGCCGCGCAGCCTCAGCCGTCTCCCGCGCCGCTCCACCATTTACGTCTCAAGCGACATGGGGGCCCGCGACGACGAGTACGACTACCTCTTTAAGGGTGAGCAGCGCGGGGGGTGAGCGGGGGGTGAGTGCTGGGGTCAGTAGGAGGTGTTGAGGACTGTGTAAGTGGGGGGCGAGAGTCGGCGCGAGTCTGTGTGGGGAGGGTGTGTGTGGTCTATATGTGGGGGTGAGTGAGTGTGGGGTGAGTGAGTGTGGGGGTGTGGGTGGGGTGAGTGAGTGGGGTGAGTGAGTGTGGGGTGAGTGAGTGTGGGGGTGTGGGTGGGGTGAGTGAGTGTGGGGGTGTGGGTGGGGTGAGTGAGTGTGGGGGTGTGAGTGGGGTGAGTGAGTGGGGTGAGTGAGTGGGGTGAGTGAGTGGGGGAGTGATTGGGGTGAGTGAGTGGGGGAGTGATTGGGGTGAGTGAGTGGGGTGAGTGAGGTGAGTGAGTGGGGTCTGGAGGTGAGTTGGGGCGAGTGGCTGGTTGTGGGCAGTGTGCGTGAGTGGGTATCTGCAGAGTGTGAGGTTGTATGTGGAGATGTGAGTCGGGGTTTGGGTGAGTGAGTGAGTGGGGTGTGAATATATACGGGGGTCAGTGTAGGGTGCATGTATGTATGTATGTTGAACTTCCTTTGCACCGTACATTGCTCACCGTGCTAATCGGAGGCGTGATTGGTTGATCCTGGGGTGTGGGATGGTGGTCTCTCAGTTGGGATTGCGAGATGTTTCGCGCTTCCGGGGTCGCTGTGCGGGGGGAAAGTTGTTGGGGCCTGTGGTGGCTGTTTGGGCGACTTTTGTGGCGTAGGAGCTGTGCCAAGTTGTCATTAACATCATAAGCGCGAAGCGTCTCAGTGAACTCGCCCTCGGGGAGAAGGCCGCGAGGAGCGTAGAGCCAGTCTAAGTAGAGCGAGTGACTGGCCGGTCTAAGTAGAGTGAGTGACCGGCTGGTCTAAGTAGAGCGAGTGACTGGCCGGTCTAAGTAGAGTGAGTGACCGGCTGGTCTAAGTAGAGTGAGTGACCGGCTGGTCTAAGTAGAGTGAGTGACCGGCTGGTCTAAGTAGAGTGAGTGACCGGCTGGTCTAAGTAGATCGAGTGACTGGCCGGTCTAAGTAGAGTGAGTGACCGGCTGGTCTAAGTAGAGCGAGTGACTGGCCGGTCTAAGTAGAGTGAGTGACCGGCTGGTCTAAGTAGAGTGAGTGACCGGCTGGTCTAAGTAGAGTGAGTGACTGGCTGGTCTAAGTAGAGTGAGTGACTGGCCGGTCTAAGTAGAGTGAGTGACCGGCTGGTCTAAGTAGAGTGAGTGACCGGCTGGTCTAAGTAGAGTGAGTGACCGGCTGGTCTAAGTAGAGTGAGTGACTGGCCGGTCTAAGTAGAGTGAGTGACCGGCTGGTCTAAGTAGAGTGAGTGACCGGCTGGTCTAAGTAGAGTGAGTGACTGGCTGGTCTAAGTAGAGTGAGTGACTGGCCGGTCTAAGTAGAGCGAGTGACCGGCTGGTCTAAATAGAGTGAGTGACCGGCTGGTCTAAGTAGAGTGAGTGACCGGCTGGTCTAAGGAGATCGAGTGACTGGCTGGTCTAAGTAGAGTGAGTGACCGGCTGGTCTAAGTAGAGTGAGTGACTGGCCGGTCTAAGTAGAGTGAGTGACCGGCTGGTCTAAGTAGAGTGAGTGACCGGCTGGTCTAAGTAGAGTGAGTGACTGGCTGGTCTAAGTAGAGTGAGTGACTGGCTGGTCTAAGTAGAGTGAGTGACCGGCTGGTCTAAGTAGAGTGAGTGACCGGCTGGTCTAAGTAGAGTGAGTGACCGGCTGGTCTAAGTAGAGTGAGTGACTGGCTGGTCTAAGTAGAGTGAGTTACTGGCCGGTTTAAGTAGAGTGAGTGACCGGCTGGTCTAAGTAGAGTGAGTGACCGGCTGGTCTAAGGAGATCGAGTGACTGGCTGGTCTAAGTAGAGCGAGTGACTGGCTGGTCTAAGTAGAGCGAGTGACCGGCTGGTCTAAGTAGAGTGAGTGACCGGCTGGTCTAAGTAGAGTGAGTGACTGGCTGGTCTAAGTAGAGTGAGTGACTGGCTGGTCTAAGTAGAGCGAGTGACCGGCTGGTCTAAGTAGAGTGAGTTACTGGCTGGTCTAAGTAGAGTGAGTGACCGGCTGGTCTAAGTAGAGCGAGTGACCGGCTGGTCTAAGTAGAGTGAGTTACTGGCCGGTCTAAGTAGAGTGAGTGACCGGCTGGTCTAAATAGAGTGAGTGACCGGCTGGTCTAAGTAGAGCGAGTGACCGGCTGGTCTAAGTAGAGTGAGTTACTGGCCGGTCTAAGTAGAGTGAGTGACTGGCTGGTCTAAGTAGAGTGAGTGACCGGCTGGTCTAAGTAGAGTGAGTTACTGGCTGGTCTAAGTAGAGTGAGTTACTGGCCGGTCTAAGTAGAGTGAGTGACTTGCCGCTCTAAGTAGAGCGAGTCACCGGCCGCTCTACGCTACTCACCGCCGCGTAGGGGCTTGCGTTTGGGGATCATCTGCGGCTGGGTGCATTAACATTCTTTCTTGAATTATCTTATGCAGATCGTCACAAATCAAATGAGTTGGCACTTAAGCTGTTCTGTGCGACCGGGTAATGTTGCCCTGGAGTTTGTAGTCATCAGGGTTCGTCACCAAGGGGGGGGTGGGGATGTGTTTGTTACTCGAGGGGATACCGAGAAACGGGGGTCTTATGGACCCCAGCTGGGATGAGCTTGCCTTGTGATCAAGGGCAGACAAGTTTCAGCATCACCGTCATCTTCACATCATCATACCGACCACACACCATCATCATCACCACCACTACCACAAAACCATCACCAACTATATAAGTCGCCCATAATAGAGGTTTTTAAACATAATTCGTATCTCCATCACATCCGCATTTTTCCTCTGCATCCTTATTTTACATCACATCCTCATTCGTACCACAAACGCAACTGCCACCGCATCAGCATCACAATATCGCCACCCATCACATCACTGTCTTCATTGGGATGTCTTCGCCACATCAGGTCGTCGTCTGCATCAGGACGGCATCCTCATCAACAGCGCATCGTCACCATCGGTCATGCTGTTAAGCGTCCACCTTCATTTTTGCAGGGAAATCGACAAAATGTTGCGGTCACCTGACCCGAACCCCTAACGCGCCTTTGAGGATGGGCAATCAATCATTCGCGAGAGTTGCCCGTTGTCTGCCGAGTCGGAGTCCACGTTTTAGAAGAATTGATGATTACCCGCGGAGGAAGCGGAGCTTCCTCCGCGCGAGCTCGTGGCCCTGTGGCCTCCCGCGTGGTTTAATAAAGGTGGGGGGGGAGCAAATTCAATTTGGTTCATCAGTGTCAGCAACAGCGATGGGTGCTGGTTAGGCAGGTGTGCTGGGTAGGTTGGTGTGCTGGGTAGGTTGGTGTGCTGGGTAATTCGGTGTTCTGGGCAGGCAGGTGTGCTGGGTAGGTAGGCAGGTGTGCTGGGTAGGTAGGTGTGCTGGCCAGGGAGGCAGGTGTGCTGGGTAGGCAGGCAGGTGTGCTGGCCAGGGAGGCAGGTGTGCTGGGTAGGCAGGTGTGCTGAGTAGGCAGGCAGGTGTGCTGGGTAGGCAGGCAGGTGTGCTGGGTAGACAGGCAGGTGTGCTGGGTAGACAGGCAGGTGTGCTGGGTAGGCAGGCAGGTGTGCTGGGTAGGCAGGCAGGTGTGCTGGCCAGGGAGGCAGGTGTGCTGGGTAGGCAGGTGTGCTGGCCAGGGAGGCAGGTGTGCTTGGTAGGCAGGTGTGCTGGGTAGGCAGGTGTGCTGGGTAGGCAGGTGTGCTGGGTAGGTAGGCAAGTGTGCTGGGTAGGTAGGCAGGTGTGCTGGGTAGGCAGGTGTGCTGGCCAGGGAGGCAGGTGTGCTGGGTAGGTAGGTGTGCTGGGGAGGTAGGCAGGTGTGCTGGGTAGGTAGGTGTGCTTGGGTAGGTAGGCAGGTGTGCTGGGTAGGCAGGTGTGCTGGGTAGGCAGGTGTGCGGGGGTAAGGTGCTGTCTCGACCACGTGAAGTGTGCGTTAGGAGGTGAATTAGCTCCATAAGCGACGCAGCAGTGAAAGTGAAAATCATTCGGTGTTAACCGAACCTGTACCCCGCACAGATCACACCGCCGACAACCGCAGGAGCCCATCCCCATCTGAGTGTGGGACTTTGGAGAGAGAAGGCTGAGCAACATCAAAACCGATCGTCGTGGTGCATAGCAACACCCTCTATTTGTTGCACGCATCCTTTGAGCTAATTGTCTGGATTGTATGGATAGTCCCTGGACTGCACGGGTTGTCTATAGAATCTCTGGGACTGTCTGGGTTATATGGACGGTCCCTGGACTGTTTGGAACGTCTCACGTGTCCGTCCCACGCGTTAATACCACGTGTCTGTACCGCACGCTCCGGGGGCTGCGTCTCACTGGAGCCACTGGTGCCGTGACCATGAATTATTCATCCCCTGCACAATGAACGTGCTGGGGTGGGGGGGCTCCTTCTCCTCTAATTGTGTGTGCGGGGCCGACTCCGTCTCCACACGGGGCCAGTCTGGGTGGTGCCGGTCTGGGTGGTGCCGGTGCCGGTCTGGGTGGTGCCGGTCTGGGTGGTGCCGGTGCCGGTCTTGGTGGTACCGGTCTGGGCGGTGCCGGTACCGGTCTGGGTGGTGCCGGTGCCGGTCTTGGTGGTGCCGGTGCCGGTCTTGATGGTGCCGGTCTGGGTGGTGCCGGTACCGGTCTGGGTGGTGCCGGTGCCGGTCTTGGTCGTGCCGGTCTGGGTGGTGCCGGTGCCGGTCTGGGTGGTGCCGGTGCTGGTCTGGGTGGTGCCGGTCTGGGTGGTGCCGGTGCTGGTCTGGGTGGTGCCGGTCTGGGTGGTGCTGGTCTGGGTGGTGCCGGTGCCGGTCTGGGTGGTGCCGGTGCCGGTCTTGGTGGTGCCGGTGCCGGTCTTGGTGGTGCCGGTGCCGGTCTTGGTGGTGCCGGTGCCGGTCTTGGTGGTGCCGGTGCCGGTCTTGGTGGTGCCGGTCTGGGCGGTCTGGTGGTGCCGGTGCTGGTCTTGGTGTTGCTGGTGCCGGTCTGGGTGGTGCCGGTGCCGGTCTGGGTGGTGCTGGTGCCGGTCTTGGTGGTGCCGGTGCTGGTCTGGGTGGTGCTCGTCTGGGTGGTGCCGGTGCCGGTCTGGGTGGTGTCGGTCTGGGTAGTGCCGGTCTGGGTGGTGCCGGTCTTGGTGGTGCCGGCGCCGGTCTTGGTGGTGCCGGTCTTGGTGGTGCCGGTCTGGGTGGTGCCGGTCTGGGTGGTGCCGGTGCCGGTCTGGGTGGTGCCGGTCTGGGTGGTGCCGGTCTGGGTGGTGCCGGTGCCGGTCTGGGTGGTGCCGGTGCCGGTCTATGTGGTGTCGGTGCCGGTCTGGGTGGTGCTGGTCTGGGTGGTGCCGGTGCCGGTCTGGGTGGTGCCGGTGCCGGTCTGGGTGGTGCCGGTGCCGGTCTGGGTGGTGCCGGTGCCGGTCTGGGTGGTGCCGGTGCCGGTCTGGGTGGTGCCTGTCTGGGTGGTGCCGGTGCCGGTCTGGGTGTTGCCGGTGCCGGTCTGGGTGGTGCCGGTGCCACGCGAGGGAAGAGGGGAGGATAAAGAGAAGATCTCCGCTGGCACTGCGGCCCCCCGACTCGTGGCACGCTCGCTGCTTAGCGTGCTCACCCCCCCCCCCCCCCCACTGGGCCCGGGTTGAGGGGACCCTGGGTAGCGGGCGGGGCCCCGTGAGCTTCCCTGCACCTGGTAGCGGCTGTGGTCCCACATCTGAGATCGTTTCGCAGAGAAAGTGTGCGGCGGCTGTGGCGGCGTGCGGACACTCACTACATGGGGAGCGGTGGTTGCAGCGGTGAGTGCGCTGCACTACGAACCCGGCGACCCGAGTTTGATTCCCGCTCGTGGGCAAGCACCAGTGACGATTATTTGAACTCGGCCTCTCCTAGGTCGGCTCGGCCTTAAAATAAGTAGCTGGTACAACGTGTAAACATCAGCACTGGGGAGACAAAGGTGGCCGGGCGTGGTGCTGGCCACCCACCCCTGGCGTGTGCTGTTCCAGCCTTCACAGGTGCTACTCGCTAACAGCACTTGCCCCAACAGTCTGTTAAGGCTATATGGAGCATGTTATTGTGTAGCTGGGTGGTGAGTGTGTTGTTGAGTGCCAGGCATTGTTTTACACTCTGCACTCTAAGCATCCAGGAAGCTAAGGAGGCTCCACTCTTTCAGCTTCACCACAGCCCCCACCCGAACCCTGCCTCCCCAACAGCCACGGGGCCCAGCCACAGCCCAGCTCCGGTCACGCAGATGCTCTGAACACAACCCGTGCCCCGATTACAGACGTCGTCGGAACCCATAACGTAACGCTCCCTAAACCTGACCCAACTGCTAACCATGACCCCATTTCTAACCTAGCTGTAACCCTAAAGCATAACCCTAACCCTCTGGCCCCGGGTCCGCCATCACCCCGGTGCTCGTTGCGTTTGGGTTTTGTTGCCGTGCGTAGAAATTGCTCGGGAATCGACTGTCAGGCCGAGGCCAAATGCACAATGGGAGGAGGTCGCACCGTCACTTCCTGCTGATGTCCGCGGGTGGGGTATGTGTGCGTGTGTGCGTTTTGAGAGCAGTGGTGTAGCGGTCAGCGCGCTGCACTACAAACCTGGTTCAATTCCCGCTCACGGCCCTGGGACTCCCCTAGGTCGACTCGGCCTCAAATGAGAACCTGGTGTGATGTGTAAACATCGCTGCTTGAGAGAGAAAGGCAGCCGGATGTGGAGTTGGCCACCCACGCCTTTGTGTGCCATGCCGGCCTTAGTAGGTTGCTCGCTAGCAGCACTTGCCCCAATAGTCTGTTATGTTTAAATGGAAGATCTTTGTCATTGTATTTGTGTGAGTTTGTGCGCCTGTGGGTTTGTGCGCGTGGGGGTTTGTGCGCGTGCGAGCGCGCGTCTGTCTGTGATTCCCGCACGTGACGCGTCCACGGGAAATGCTGACTGCGCTCCACTCGGCCTTCCTCCTCCATTTCCTCCTCGTCCACCGCCCTCGCTCCCAGAAGGAAATCGCGTCAAGGTTGTGGTTCTGGTCATAACGACATGGCAACTGTGCCTGACCCCACCTGTGCGTGTGTTTGTGCGTGTGTTTATGCGTGCGTTCATGCGTGCGCGTGCAGTGGTGCTGATTGGAGACTCGGGCGTCGGAAAGAGTAATCTGTTGTCGCGCTTCACGCGCAACGAGTTCAACCTGGAGAGCAAGAGCACCATCGGCGTGGAGTTCGCCACGCGCAGCATCCAGGTGGACGGCAAGACCATCAAGGCGCAGATCTGGGACACGGCCGGGCAGGAGCGCTACCGCGCCATCACCTCCGCGTGAGTCGCCTGCGTGGGAGCGCTGGTGGTTGCGGTAATGACGGAGGAGGTGGTGGCGGCGCCGGTTGTGGCTGTCGCTGCGGTGGTGGTGGTGGTGGTGGAGGCGGTCGCAGAGATGATAGCTGTGACGATTCCTCGGTGGTAGTCGACCCCGTTACGCGATAGTCACCCCAAATCGGGCAGTGGCGTGGCGGAGACAACACACGTGGCCAGTAATCCACGCTGTGCCGCACCGGCAGGTACTACCGGGGCGCGGTTGGCGCGCTGCTGGTGTACGACATCGCCAAGCACCTGACGTACGAGAACGTGGAGCGCTGGCTCAAGGAGCTGCGCGACCACGCCGACAGCAACATCGTCATCATGCTCGTGGGCAACAAGAGCGACCTGCGGCACCTGCGCGCCGTGCCCACCGACGAGGCCAAGGCCTTCGCAGGTGACACCAGCCACCGCACCACCACACATCTCCGCGACTGCCGCACCACCCCGCACCTGCACCGCACCACCACACCACCGCTGCACAACCCCACTACCCCACACCACCACCGCTTGCCACTCCACCCCCTACAAGGGTCCTGCCGTTCTGCACCCCATCGCACTACCCTCTCAGCCGCATCACGCAATCATAGCCGCGCCCCGTGGCGCCACGCTAACCGCACAGCACGAGCGCTGCTGTGCCACCGTTCCCGGGTGGGCAGCAACCCCTGGGGCGGGCGTTGGCTCGACTGCCTCTCAGCTGTCGCCCCTTCTCCGACTCCCTCTCGTGCCTACCGCGAGTTCCCAACTCGGTGATGAGTGCCTCAGTCTGGCTCCCTGAGCCGACGGCGCCGTCCCACAAATAATTCTGGCCCGGCCACAGCCACCGGGGCCGCGTCACGGCCGCCCACGCGCCCCAAGCGCGTGCAGCAGCTGAAGCCGCACCCCGGCTGTAGTTCAGTTGCCACCTCCCGAGGCTAAATAACCATGACACAGCCGTGAGAAGAATAGAGGTGTATTCTGTGAAAGCCAGGACAGGTGGCAACCCCGCAGAGTGTCTTTGCCAGCAGCTGGTAGCTTCAGGAGCCTGGGTGGTGCAGTGTGTGGGTTGTGTGGACAGTGTGGCACATGCGTATGTGGTGTGCAGGTGGTGTGCAGTGTGCTATGGACAGTGTATCTTTGGTGTGATCATGCTGAATTGATCAGGGAGAGATGGCTTCTCATTCTGGAATGTGAACCGACCAGCCGGGATGACGCCGATGACGCATCCGCCATTAAATTTCCTTGCCCGAGTTTCCCAGCACTGGAAGAGGGGGGGGGGGCTGAACGGCAGGGAGGCAACAAGTGACTTCAACAGATCCCTCACGCCGCCCTCAACGCACTCGCCATTGCCTCGTAACAATTATACCGAAGGGCCGGTTTCTGGCTCATGCAGCCAGCGTTCTTCCCATGGTGAAGTTCTGCCGACTCGGTCACGGCAGCCGTTCTCAACCTGGCGATGAATGAAGGCCTCCTCCGTTCGGAGTCGTGTCGGAAGTTGCGTCGTAAATCGATCCATAGTTGCAATATATAAACGTAAATGTGGATCATTGTAATTTGGACCGCTCTAAACCGGAGACTGCCACGCTGGCCAGTCGGTGAAGGTGGGCAGAGGGGCGGTTGTAACGGGACCGGTTCTCAGATCACTGACCACCTCCGCCAACGTTGCCGTGGCCGGGCATCGAACTTGGCCCCCCGGGTTCGCAGCGCGGCCGCTTCAGAAGCTTCCCCCACACATACACACACGCGCGCGCAAGCGAGCTCGCGTCGTGTTCGCGTGTCCACCGCTCGCAAACTCGGTCGCTTGTTCCGTGTTTGCGAAACTGTCGGTTGTCACCTGACCTATCATGAGAGTGCCATCTCTCATTAAATTTCAGCCTCGACGCCCTCTCGCTCTGCTGTGAGCGATGAGTCGTGCACGTGTCCGTTGCGTGACGTGCGCTCGGGTTGTGCTGCGTGCTGTTTGGCGCGAAGTCCGACGTTTCGCTCCCCTGTACCGGGAGCTTTCTTCAGGAACCGTTCGGTTCTTGTTCCTGAATTAAACTCCCAGCGCACAGGGGGCAAAACGTCATGCGTCGAGCCCGATGGCGATCGTGCTTTGTGTTTGTGCTCGGGTGGCACCGCTGAGCTCGCTCCGTCCCGGAGTTGAATTCAACAGCGCAGCGGTGGCCAAAGAAGGGGATTGCGATCCACGGGTGGGTGATCCGCAATAGATAGGTCTCGGCACAAATCAAAACAGACATTTATAACATCAGCACACAACAGAAATTCTCAATACGGCTCAAGGCTAATAAACAATCGCGACAAGAATTCATACATTAAACGCACTGACTTCTACCGATAGATGGCGCCAGTACTCTAGTTTTACTATTCTACCAGGTAAGGCCCACTGAGTTATAAAGCGCTTTTTCAGAAACTCAACGAAGTGGCTTATGTGGACGTTTATAGCACTCAAATGCTCTAACTGCATGTTGAATCTAAATATGGAGGGAAAAACAGGACCCCGAGAAGAATCCACACGTCTACGCGGAGAGACACGCAAACTCCAAATATAAAGCAGGCATCAAGGTCAGGATCGAACTCGCGACCTGCATGCCAAGCGAGGGATTTAACATCTCGCCATGGCACCCAGGGGACCGGGAGCTACTCTGGACAGATCCACCTCCGCCTCTTTTTACACGCTTTTTATTAACTCACTCTGTTGTTGTCGTATCCTCAAATCTTGTAACTCAATTTTAGCCCACTTCCCAATGTGGTATCGACTGTAAAATTGGTATACTTATGTCATACTGATGACAATACTATATTCTATCATAAAAAAAGAAAAAATATTTTTAAACAATCTTTTTACACGCTTTCTATTAATTTACTGTTGTTGTATCCTCAAATCTTGTAACTCAATTTTAACCCACTTCCCAATGTGGTATCGACTGCAGACTTGGTATACTTATGTCATACTGATGACAATACTATATTCTATCATAAAAAATATATTTGTAAACATTATTTTTTATATGTTATGTTTCGGTTTGGGTCTAATTGTCCACGCTCAACTGATGTTAACTGTAAATGACCACGGCCCCTTATGTTATAGCAAGCTTCGGGGCCACTTCCTGGAGTCTCGTGGAGTTCTGCCATTACGAGTACGGTACATTTCATGAAAGCGTGTTTTAAAAAAAAGTTTTTTAAAATATTACTTATTTGTAATGCCCCGAGTGAAATGGAGCACCCCATCCGTCGCTGTGGTTTGTGATCGCGTGCAGACAGCAGGTTGTGGGTCACGGTGCGGGTCACAGCAGGGGTGTGTGGGTATTCATTAGCTGTGGCTTTGTGATGGATCGCATGCGGAGCAGCACCCACCCCCCCTCAATGATATTCACCAGAGTGGAGCACCACAGCACTTTGGGGGACTGGCCACCATCCGTTGCAGGAGTGACTGGAGCCCCCCATGGCACCACACCGCATCGGAGGGATGCGTGCGCACGAGGCACTGACGCGGCGTGGATGTGCGCGCGTTTGTGTTTTGCAGAGAAGAACAACCTGTCCTTCATCGAGACGTCGGCCCTGGACTCCACCAACGTGGAGACGGCCTTCCAGACCATCCTCACAGGTCAGAGGGTGGTGCACAGTGTCCACCTCCTCGTCGCCTCGACCTCTGCCTTCTCTTCCCTCTGTAGCGTTCTTCTCGCCACCTGGTTTTGATTCGCCATTGTACGGTACCAAGGGTTAAGAGGCAGAAGCGGATGGGACGAGCTGGTGGTGGTTGGGGTGGTGGTATTGAGCTGGTTGTAGTTGAGGCGGTGGTAGTTGGGGTTGTGGTGGTGGTGGTATTGAGCTTGTGGTGGTTGAGGTTGAGGTGGTTGGTCGAGGTGGTGGTGGTTGGGCTGGTGGTGGTTGCGTTTTACGATCGTGACGATGTCACTGCTCCTGTCTTGGGGGGTGAGGAGACTCACCTTTCCCGTCTGCCCACCCTCATCCCTTTCCCCATCACGCAGAGATCTACCGGATAGTCTCACAGAAACAGATGTCGGACCGCGCCGGCCACCACGACTCGCCCAGCAACAACGTGGTGGACATCACAGTGCCGCCCACCGATCCCAGCAAGACAAACAAGTTCCAGTGCTGTCAGAACATGTAACACTCATCCTCCCGTTCCCCTCGCTTACACACTCACACGCGTCGAGAGCCCCGTATAGATCCCCGCTCCCACTCCACACCCCCACGCACACGAGAGCACATGCACCCCCGAGCGCACAATGCCGTGATGGGACGGCAGTGCCAGACACGACGGCTCCCGGGCACCGCGTGTGGAGGTCAATTCACTCGACGACGTCTTTGGCCTCGTTTCCTCGCCGGTGACGTTGCGAGGGGGCGGGGCAGGTGTTTGGCCAGGGTCCCCTTCTAGTGCTCACCCTCCCACCCGCCACTTCGTCTCATCGTCCATGATTCTCACTCTCGTAGCTTCGCGCACCAATTAACCCCGGGCTCGCCCCGTCTGCTTGGGGTTGTACATATTCTTGTGAGGGCGGGTGGCTGATGGACTGTGCCACTCTGCCGTGAGGAATAGGGGGTTTGTGCCACCACTTAAAAAAGCTATGGGAACCAAGTGTGGTGCCTGCTAGCTGCTTTCCATCAGCTCAATTGGTACAGCCCAATAGGTCCCATGGGCTGTGACCTCAAGTTGGTAGAGTCCAGAAGGGACCATGGGCTGCGATCCCATGGTCCCTTCTCGGCCATCTGTGCTTTGCATTGGAACCGTTTTGATCGTGTGTAACCAAGTGACTATACACCTGCAAATATATTGATTCGTATCCACAGTTCACTGCCTCTCTCGCTGTGGGGTGCCACTGCCTGTGTCGAGTGCATTATGTACACGAAACACCTCGCTTGCGCACAATTCCACAGCAGTGAACACCAAGACAACCAACTAGAGGCTACAATTTACAGTAATTTTAAGTAGACATCTTTTATGCCTTCCATTAGCTTTGGCACCTGCTGGGAGTGCTTTTTCATCAACTGTATCGTTATACAGGGTGTTTCAAAAAGATGGACACAATTTGAAATCGCTATATCTCTGCAACCACGAACCACCCATGAATGAAACATACCACTTGAAAGGGCGGGGCATAGAGTTTCAAATGATTACTGCAAGATGGCTCTCCCAGCGCACAAACAGCCCCTAGCCTCAAGTCATTCGCAAGATGGCAACCCTGCAACACAAGGCGTTTTGCGTTCTGCAATTCAGCAAGACTGAATCCGTAATTGCTATGCAGCGTGTTTCATCACACCCTGCGTATTTCTTGTGGGGATACGTCAAAGACCGTGTTTTTGTGCCATTAGTGACTAATCTAGAAGACCTCAAAAACAGAATCACGGCAGCGGTGACTTCAGTGGAAGACACTTTGAGTGGCGTTTGGGACGAATTCAACTATCGTCTCTGTTGTCCGTACAGCAGGTGGAGGGCGCATAGAGCATTTATAAAATGGTTAGTAAAACTTGATAACTCAAACCGTTTGTAACTTTGTGTAATTGTAACATGTTGCCATCGTAAAATATACTGCTTTGAAATTGGGTCCATCTTTTTGGAACACCCTGTATTAATCCAATACCGATTCATAATTAGTATTCATTTGGGTTAGATGGTTGGGTAGTGTGCCAAATTATTTTTTAAAGTAGTCCACAATGACAAGATGGCCACCTGCTCGCTCGCTGTGGATAGTGAGCGAGGAGGAGACCCGAGTGGCGAATGTGTAAGGGAATGAGTGTGAGGGAGTGTGGAGGGAAATGAGTACGAGGGAGCGTGGAGGGAAATGAGTGTGGAGGGAGCGTGGAGGGAAATGAGTACGAGGGAGCATGGAGGGAAATGAGTGTGGAGGGAGCGTGGAGGGAAATGAGTGTGGAGGGAAATGAGTGTGAGGGAGTGTGGAGGGAAATGAGTACGAGTGTGGAGGGAAATGAGTGTGGAGGGAGCGTGGAGGGAAATGAGTGTGGAGGGAGGGTGGAGGGAAATGAGTGTGGAGGGAGCGTGGAGGGAAATGAGTGTGGAGGGAGCGTGGAGGGAAATGAGTGTGGAGGGAGCGTGGAGGGAAATGAGTGTGGAGGGAAATGAGTGTGAGGGGTTAGGGGGTGACAATAGTCGTGGAGTCCCAGCTCTGCGGCCTGGTGTTTCGGGGAGCCTCGGTCTCGCCTGGCTCGGCAGCAGGGTTTGGCTCGAGCTGAGAGGCCGCTTCGGGCTCGGAGGATGAGGCTCTGGGCGTGCGTGCGGCCTCGCAAGAAGCAGCGGCTCCCGCATCTCTGCAGAAGCTCCTGCGACAACGCAGCCTCCTGGCCGTGATGGCGTGCAGTGGGCGAGAGCCAACGGAGCCAAGGCCGTGATACACTCGCATCATACTCAACCACGGACCCATTCACTCATCATGCACTAATTCACTCATCATACGCCGACTCACATCATACACTGGGAGTGTAATGCTGCCAGCTATGGCTGCAAAGTTTGGTCGTACATGTTATATATGGTTTATTGTTCAATTTAAATAATTTCTTATGATTACTGTTTTTATAGCATTATTTTTATTTTAAAAACATGGGTAATCTAAATTGTGTTATGGTTATTGTTTGACTTGCATCACACTGGGATCTTTGCACACAAGCGTTTTTTTTAGATTTGCTGGTTTATCCAGGGTGTTTCTGTTGCGCGTCCTCGCTTTAATGTTTTGTTCATATTTTTCGATTTAAAGCTTTCGTGACTGCAGGGTTTCATCTTTTTGACTTTACCGAAAGAACTAAGATGTTCATATTTTGTTTGCAGTTGCACCCGACTTAAGAGCCGCATGGCTCACAGGGCTATACCAAATAAATGAAACTTGACAAATGAAACTTGAAACCACAGGGACAGAGCAAATCAAATTGTCTGTGGGAAAATGTCAATTTGATTTTTTTGCAGAAAAAATTGAATTGACATTGTTGACAACGTTGTGATTGCATCCAATACCCAGTTCACAATCTCAGTCCACATTTAGATTGTTTTCATCTCAACACAGACAAGCAGCATAGCAAGCTTCCAATAGTCCACGGTTTTTATTGAAGAGTGGGGGGGAGGGGTGGGACTTCACTCCTTCTTGGAGGCGGCCTTCCTCATGGCGGCCAGGATGTTGCTGAGCTCCTCACGCTTTCTCTTCCCACGGGTGTGGGTGCCAAGCTGGTGGAGACAAACGGCACGGATCGGACACAGCACAAAACCCGAGCAGCGCAACTGAGGAGGGGATGAGTGGAGGACAGAATGGGGGGAGTGGGTGTTTGCAGGAGAGCGTGGGGGGTGAGTGTTTTGAGGAGAGCGTGGGGAGGAGGGGGCAAGTGTTTGGAGGAGGGCGTGGGGGGGGGAGGAGGGGACGAGTGGAGGACAGAATGGGGGGAGTGTTTTGAGGAGGGGGCGAGTGTTTGCGCGGAGGGTCAGTAGCCGGGCCCTCACCCGCTTCTTGATGAACTTGAGCGCGCGCTTGTCCTTGGACACCTTGAGCAGCTCCATGGCGCGGCGCTCGTAGGGCGCGTGGCCGCACACCTCGCGGATCAGGTCGCGCACAAACTTTGTGTGCTTGGTCAGGCGCTGCGGGAGGCAGGGGAAGGCCACGTTTCACAATGCAGAGAGAGTTACAATCGCGCCAACGTGGGAAACGCATCTCGCCACTCAGAACGGCTCAAGGAGGAACCACAAGAGTGGGGAAGTAACAGCAGCCACGTGGTCGAGGAGCCAGTGCTACCAACAATTGCCCAAGCTCTGCGGTTTTATAAATATCAAGGCGTTATCAGCCAATCTATATATATAAAATCGCAAATCTGTCTGTCTGTGTGTGTGTCGCCGGACCATACGCAGTTTCATTGGACGAAATGTGAGGGATTTGCGAGACACGATTGGTCCCTTTGGTTTTCCACGGCGGTTGCCCCTGGCAACGGGTAGCGACGCATTCGCTGCGGGGTGGACGCCATTTTTAATTCCCGTTAAAAATATGCGCACGCATTAACACGCGACTCTGAGGTAAATTCATCAAAGTTTCACGTCCTCTTCACTCCCCCCCACCACAATGTGTGCAATTACTATTATAGGGTCAGTAGATTATAAAATTATAGCGATTAGACAGTATTATTGTAGCGCGGGGGGGGGGGGGGGGGTAACGGCCCCGGTACCCAGCCTCAGCCGGGTAGGCAATCTAGGCGAGGCCGGAGGCTCTGCACGGTACTAGGCCTCGACACCCCACCCGTGTCAAGCGACGACTTTGTGGTATAAACTCGATATACCCAGCGTTGCCCGGGGGGGAAAATACATTTAAAATCTTCTGAAAACTTTCAAACATTACATACCAATGAAAAAACAACTGTGTAATTACTTTTTAACCCGACGCGCCAAGAATCGATTCTTTAAATGTTGACTGTACAAATAGTCATTAAGCTGGGTGAGCGTACTGGCAGTCTATAATGTAGACTGTAGCCTGGTTATTAAGCTGGGTGGGTGTACTGGCAGTCTATAATGTAGACTGTAGCCTGGTTATTAAGTAAAGCGAGTCAATTTGTAACACGTAGGCTTTCGCGACCATTATTCATAAACGTTATTGGGTTTAGATCGCCTTATTTATTAATGTGTTGTAACCCTCCACCACCCGACACGGCCAATCAGTAAAAAAGTGTCACGTTGATAAAAGACTAATAGTTCACTGCTTTAGCCCACCGGTGTGTTCAAGCGTGAAACCACAACAATTACCATTTCAGATGTCAAAACAACTGTGTCATTACTTTTAAGCACGACGCGCCAAGAATAGATTCTTTAAATGTTGACTGTACAAATAGTCATTAAGCTGGGTGAGCGTACTGCCAGTCTATAATATAGACTGTAGCCTGTTTATTAAGCTGGGTGGGTGTACTGGCAGTCTATAATGTAGACTGTAGCCTGGTTATTAAGTAAAGTGAGTCAATTTGTAACACGTAGGCTTTCGCGACCATTATTCATAAACAACGTTATTGGGTTTAGATCGCCTTATTTATTAATGTGTTGTAACCCTCCACCACCCGACACGGCCAATCACGGCTACCACCGGTGACGATTATTTGAACCGGTCCTGGGCCTCCCCTAGGTCGACTCAGCCTCAAAACGAGTAACTGGTGTGGCGTATGAACATCGCCACTGGGGAGACAAAGGCGGCCGGGCGTGGTGGATCCAAGTCCCGGGCGAAGCCGGGTAGTACAGCTAGTTAATTATATGCATGGGAGGAGACCGGAGCGCCCAGAGAAAACACTATCCCATCGAGGCAGAACAGGTGGCATTCACATTTTGCTGTACCACCACCTCCTGACGAGTCAGGGTATGGGTCACTCCACGACGCCCAACGGAAGGAACTTTGACGTTGGTGTGCGGTCCACCAACCCTGGGCTGCCTCGACAGTGCTGTATTACAGGCCTCAAATGAGCATTGGTGATCATCTCCCGTACACAGCCCTGAAGATTTCTATGGTAGCGACGACTATAAATGACCGCTGTTGACTTCTCCACAAAGTGGTGCTATGGCGCCGCCTGTCCAGGTTTATTTTCTCTTAAGACAATTCACCTTTGAGTGTGGACGGCTCGCTTGCGAGTGTGTCAATTGACACATTGCAAGACAAGATCCCCTGTATAGCCTTGAGCAAACTGTTTACGGCAAAGTGCCATTAGTGAGCACCGGATGAGGGGGTGGGTGGCCAGGACCACACCTGACTGCATTTGTCTACCCAATGGCGATGTTTACACACCACGCCAGGTACTCATTTAAGGCTGAGTTGTTCAGATATCCATCACCGATGTTGGCCGTGAGTAGAAATTGAATTTGGGGTCGCCGTGTTCGAAGCAGCGCGCTCACCAATGCGCCAATGCTCCCTACTACACAACTCCTATTGACGTGCATAGACTTGCGTTAAATTCACATGGGAGGTGGCGAATAATAATATGATCACTTTCATTTACACAGTTGTTCATTTTTACGCCTTTGAGACCTACAGATGGCAGCCACCCCTATGGAATGAGGTGAACACGATTTGCTGGTTGGGCAGCAGTCTGCCTGCTATGCAGCAAATCGTGGCTTCGATCCCAACCCGGACTCCTGGTGTATATCTGTAGTTTGCATATAGTCCTCCCTCCATGGCCACGTGGATTTTTCTCTCGGTCCTCCCGTTTTTCCCCTCCACATTTAGAAACATGGATGACAGAAATTTCCACATGATAAGCCACTTCATCGAGCTATCATTTGTGACCAGATCACTTCTGATAAAGAGCTCTATAGCTCTGTGGGCCTTACCTGGTAACATTTAAATATATAGATTAAAAATCAAAGCTTATTGGTCTTTCCAATTTAAATTGGAAAATGTGGCACTTGACGTCACAACACAATGTCCGACTCATTTTCAATCGAGGTCATGGGACCTTTAACGTCCCCACTGCGGTGGCGGCGAAGCAGTGGACGCAGCTCACACCCCCGAGGTGCTTTCCAAACAAATCCACTCGACCTATAGAACCCCCACGGTGTGGTCAATTACTCGGGATGGCTTTACACAGATGGCTGCACCTCCACACTTGCCTTCGGAACGCAGGAAACCCCCAATCTAACTCAGGCCTAACTTGAACCGGCCGATGGCTATTACATGACCAAGCCCCCATCCGTTCAGATGTTTGTCTTCGTCATTGGTTGGTAATCGATCACTTGAACAATCAGAATATCCCGCAGCTGTAGTGCCAATGGCAGTTTCTATTCCATGATGGCAGCAGCAATATGTACAGGAGCTAGATGCCATTGTCGATGTCATGCCATCTGCTGCTACTGCTACAACAATAGGGGTGCAGGAGAGTTTCGTGCAGTTTTGCGATTTCTCCTCCACTTAAGGAGTTACATGGCCACAAGCGCACGACTGTGGTTTGTTAATGTATGTCTGGTCTCTATTAAGTCTTTATGGGACTGTATCTGTGAGTCTGTTTCTGGGTTTACTATTTGGTCCACAGTTTGGGCTGCATGGCCACAACCGCACGACTGTGGCTTGTATTTAAAACATCTCCATGTATCTGTACGAGTCTACGTATTTTATCTCTGTATCTGTGCCTCTATGGGTTTAACTATATATGATCCACAGTTTGGGTTGCATGGCCACAACCGCACACGTGTCGCTTGTCTTCAATAGATCTGTCTCTACGGGTCTCTCGTGTCTTTAATGGCAGAAATGACCACGTGTAGTGAGAGAGGGCCTTCCACTCGGCGGCCATGTGGAGCAGCCCCTCGGCTGTTCCAATTAACAGCCATCGGGGAAATAATCTACAGAATCAATAAAAAATGTCTTAAGCCTTTAAACAATTCATACCCTCATCGCCGAGACAGAACTTCCTTCGCCCTGTGTAAACTAAATGCAACAGGCTGCAGGTAACTATATTGTGAGTGGAAATGTTGTAACCGATTCCATCCAATCGCAGTTCGAACTAAAAAGCTCAAACATTCAATAACACCGCGTGGTCTCACAATGAAACACATATGCAATGGACAACGTTTCGCGCAATGACCCTTCTTAACAGCGCAGTTATCATTCAATAACCGAGCAAATCACAGCGCCGCGAGAGGCGTGATGGAAGAAGCCGCTCTACTTCTCAGTGTAAACCCATTGGTGAGCGAGCGAAGGCAAAGCGTTAAGAGGGGTGAGCGTGGAGTCACGTGTGTGTGGACCATGGTGAGCGTGGAGTCACGTGTGTGTGGACCATGGTGAGCGTGGAGTCACGTGTGTGTGGACCATGGTGAGCGTGGAGTCACGTGTGTGTGGACCATGGTGAGCGTGGAGTCACGTGTGTGTGGACCATGGTGAGCGTGGAGTCACGTGTGTGTGGACCATGGTGAGCGTGGAGTCACGTGTGTGTGGACCATGGTGAGCGTGGAGTCACGTGTGTGTGGACCATGGTGAGCGTGGAGTCACGTGTGTGTGGACCATGGTGAGCGTGGAGTCACGTGTGTGTGGACCATGGTGAGCGTGGAGTCACGTGTGTGTGGACCATGGTGAGCGTGGAGTCACGTGTGTGTGGACCATGGTGAGCGGTGGGCAGCAGTGCGCCGAGGGCGTTCTCGGTGTGGGCGATTGGAGAGGTGAGCGTGGAGAACATTGTTGGAACGGACGACGGTGATCGGTGGATTAGCGAGTAGTGATGTTCTGTGTGTGGTCAACTTTTTTCATACGTAGCCAACCCTGCTAATTGGATGTGCAATGTCCAGTGGTTTACGGTTATTTATTTGATGGGGGTAGTCGATGGAGAGTATCTGAATGCATAACCGTTTAATGCGCGTGGTAGTGATGGCGAGTGATCCTGGTAAGTAGTTGAATGTGTGTCGTAGAGGATGGTGAGTGGCGAGTAGCTGAATGCGCGTGGTAGATGGTGAGTGGTAGAGGATGGTGAGAGGCGAGTAGCTGAATGCGCGTGGTAGAGGATGGTGAGTGGTAGAGGCTGGTGAGTGGTAGAGGATGGTGAGTGGTAGAGGATGGTGAGTGGTAGAGGACGGCGAGTGGCGAGTAGCTGAATGCGCGTGGTAGAGGATGGTGAGTGGTAGAGGATGGTGAGTGGTAGAGGATGGTGAGAGGCGAGTAGCTGAATGCGCGTGGTAGAGGATGGTGAGTGGTAGAGGATGGTGAGTGGTAGAGGAGTGGTAGAGGATGGTGAGTGGTAGAGGATGGTGAGTGGTGGCGAGTGGTGGAGTTGATCGCGTGCCACTCACCCCACGGCGGCGGCACTGCCGCGGCTTGGCGACGTTCTTGGTGGTCGGGTGGCCTTTGTTGAGGCCAACGGCCATCGGGTAGCGGATCGCCATCGTGCTGCTCGCGAGGGACACACGAGGGGGAGGAGGGTTACACGTGCGGCCCCTCGTCGGCCCAGTCACCATCTCGAGCTCGCGAGGCAATCAAGCGACGGCGCAGACGATGTTAATGCCACAATAATCAGGCGATCCGATTCTCCCCCCCTCCCATCTACACATAAAACCCTCCCAATGCCTTTCCCTCTACACATAAAATACACATTTTGAAAGCATGCCATCAGCTACTCGGCATTTTAAAATGGAGTGCGCGTCTCATCGGCGGCAAAGCAAAAACTACGGAAACGGTTTTGACCGTCTGCGTCTCAGCAGCAATTTAGTCAGGCTCGTTTGACCCAATGCCGGCGAACGGCCACCGCTGCGGATGAACGAAGAGCCTCGCTGTTGTTAATGGCCGGGGGGGGGGGGGGGTCCCAGGTTCCCCGCACACAGCAACGAGCCCTTAACTCCTTCCCACAACCGTCGCCAGTTAAGTCTCTCCGTCCACATCGAGCCCCAATAACCGCGCGCCCCACGTCCCCATCCCATCGCGGTGCTGCCCGGGGCTCCCGGGATCCCCGTGGGGGGAGGATGGTGCGGATTGAGCTCGGATCCCGCGCCACGGAGACGCAACCGCACCTGGTGCTGATGGCGACGATACCGGAAGAGAGGGTTTCGCGTTGCACGCTAGGTTAAGTCACTTCCGGCGGCGGCGGAAGTCGTCTGAGCGGAAGTGCGGCCATGTTGGGTAGGGATGACGTCACCGTGATAAGATGGCTGCCACGTCCGCCGTGATAAGATGGCTGCCACGTCCGCCGTGATGAGGGGGGGTCACGTGACGCAGGGTGAGAATCGCCAGCGCTGATTGGCTGATACACACGCGCGAGTCACGTGGCGCGAACTCGTAATCCGCGAATCCTTCGTGGACTTTGTCGCGTGCTCGCGGATTCGTGGACTGGTGGAATCCGAAGAGCTATGAAGCTCTATTTCACATGTCCAGTCGGGGCCGGTCAGCAAGCTACCACACGTGTTTTAAAAACTATACGAGTGCAAAATGCAGAACAAGGTAAGCTATTTACTAAATATAAATACTTAAAAAACACATTCATTATATAAGTTAGATTTTTCAACACTAATGCAAGCTTGAGTGAGGCAGCACAAGAATGAAAACAGCCTCAGACCGCACCAAGACAACGCACAGTCCCTCAGTTGAATTGTACATTAACCATCAATGCACTTGTTAGGAACAAAATAACAAATTACATTTGCAAATGTATCCTTTATCCAGCAGTAATCTTCTGGATCAGCCGGAAGGTGGCACAGGGTACAGACAAAATGTATACAGTACGTACTCCACTGGTACCGTATGCACGGCATAGTGTTTCCCGCTCACTTCCACATGTGTGAATACTCGTTTTATTGGCCGATAAAATCTAAATAAAAATAGACAGCAGAGCTTAGACAATTGTTGGTAGCGCCGGCTCAGCGTGTTGCTGCTGCAGTCTTCGCGCTCGTCTGGTCCATCCGAGTCGCGCCTCTTAACGAGTCGTCAGTGTGAGACGCATGGCGCCACGTTACCAATCGACGATTTAATCCCCAAAATGCGCCGGCGCAGCAACAACAACAACAAATTGCGCATTGCGGGCAGGGTTGCGATTTCGGCATGGAAAATGCGGAAGGAGGGTTCAATTCTTCCCGCATTTCTGGTAATGTCAACCGCAAACGGTGGAAAGACTACTCCTGTGACCGCGCGCTTTTAACAACACGTTAATGCGTTCTATTGGAAAGGATATATGCAAGGCCCAACATCACGCAGGGCTTTGAGCTACTGATTGCAATGAATATATGATTTCCGCATTTCCGCACAAGAACCACATACTTTATTCAAATGCAGAGCGTGATTACGAGCAAATGTACTTTCTCTTCTTCGCATTCTTCCAGCGCTTCATGTTGTCTTCGGCATCAAAGTTGCTGAGTTTTGGTCCGTCGCGGGCGCAAACCATAAGCGCGTTCAACTGCTTGCACGTGAGGAGCGACCGCTCCTCGGTCTTGATGTTGTTTTGCAGAGAGAAGGCCCTCTCGCAGTCGACAGACCCGTGCGCCAAAGTCGCAGCGATCTTGATGAGCGTGAGGATCTTGGGGTGGGACTTTTGCATGTGCGAGTTGCTGCACACGACCTTGAGGATCTCCGTCGCGCCGACGCCGCGGAAGCTGCCGATGGCAAAGTACTTGTAGTGGTTGTACTCCGTCACGAGCTCGGAGGAGGAGGCGTCCGGCAGGTAGGTCTTGCCGAGCGCGACGATCTCGTGCACGCCAAAGGTCTGGATGTGCGCCGCCTTGGCGATCTCGTCTGGGTACAGCATGGCGAGCGCCCGTACCGTGGAGTGCGTCTCTTCTGGGAAGCGCTCTTCGAGATGAGCAACAAGGTGCTGTACGTATTCGCCCCCGGCGCGAAAGGTCGCCGCCACCTCGTCCTCGTCCTCGGACTGCACGTTGCCCCCGAGGCGCTCGTTGAGCTCGAGGAGCGCCGGTGTCGAGACGGTGTCGAGCGTCAAAGTGGTCAAGAAGGTGTAGCGCAGCTGCAGGACGGTCGCGGCGACGATGCCTCCAACGCTCACGATGTGCATGTCGTCGGCCTGCAGCGCCGTGCTGAGCATGTTGAGGATGCCGCTCACGTCCGACATGAGCGCGATCCAGACGTGGTAGGCCACGCAGCGCAAGTAGCTGTAGTACTTGGCGGCGGCGACGGAGCTCGTGTCGTCCGCGAGGACCTCGGCCACGGACTGGGCGAGGCGGTGCATGTTGTGCAACGACTGCCCGCGCGAGAGCCAGCGCGTGAACCCGCCGAGGAGCAGCTTGAGGTGCGGGGCCCCGAGCTTGTCCATGGCCGCGCTGAGCAGCTCCTTGCGCGGGAGCGACCTCTTGAAGTAGTTGTAGATGCCCGCGACGACGAGCATGCGCTCCTCCTCGTACTCGCTCTCAGCGTCTTCTGCCGCAAGAGCAGCACGGTGCGCTGGGCAATGTGCCGAAACCAAACGTGGAACTACTGACTTGAGGCGGGCGGCGACGCCCGTGTTGCAGGCCGTCATGACGGATGCACCGTCGCTCGCGAAGGCGATGAGGTCCTCGATGTCGAGGCCGCGGCCATCGAGCAGCTCAATGATGGCGTCGAAGACGGCCTTGGCGCTGCCGCTCGAGAGGGAGACGACGCCGAGCATGCGGATGCAAATGGCGTTGCAGTATACGTAGCGGCCCATGACGACGGCGTTCTTGCTAGATGCCACGTCCGTGCTCTCGTCGCAGCTGATCGAGAAGAACTTGGCCTCGCGCATCTCGTGCACGGTCTTCTCCAAGATGGACGTGCTGCAGATCTCCACCATGTCGACTGCGCTGTCGCGCGAGCAGTATGAGCCGTAGGTGCCGCTGGCAGTGGAGAAGGCCTGCTTCCTCGCATACGAGTTGATGCTGGTCTGCACGAGGCCGCAGATGTGCTCCATCATCGAGTAGGGCAGACTGTGCTTGGCAATGAAGTAGCCGCACCGCAGCGCGTGCGAATGCCAGAGCGTGTAGTCGGCGGCGCCCGACTCGCCGGCCGCCGCGCCCATGCTCTTCTGCTCCTGCTCGCCGCTGCGCTGGAAGGCCAACTCCAAGGCCGACTTCGCTCGGAGCGTCTCGGCGGCCTTGAGGTGGCCGATGCTGTCGCCATGGTCGACGATGCGGTCGAGGGAAAACTTGCCCGAGACGCCCGGGGTATATCCTTTGTTGCCCTTGTGGAAGATGCACGACCTCGGCCCGGCGGCAGAGCACGTGGTGCAGAAGAAGGCGCTTTTCTCCTCGTCGTACATGAGGCACAGGCGGCCGAGGAACCAGCGCTCGAGGACGATAGGCTTGCTCTTGGTGGTGGGGGTGCTGCTCATTTTTGAATCTGTGTGTGATGTTATGAGCTATTATCGTTAGCAGTAAAGTGTATTTATTTGCAGGAGGTATAGAGTAGCTACGGCAGAGGCAAGTGGGTAGACGCGAGATATGTGCGCCAACCGCGCGAGTACGGCACCGGTATAGGCGGGAATCGAAGTCACGATTTGCGGAAGTCTTCCCAGGAATCACCGCAAATTGCGGAAATTTGTGCGGAAGAGGGTCACAGAAACTACCGCGAAATGCGGTCGAAAACAGCATGTTTGCGGAAATTGGTGCGCAAATCGCAACCCTGATTGCGGGACTAAACATCTCTTGATGCGCCGCGGATTACGGGATCCAGGATATGGTCCGGCCCACCGTAATACCACGACCGAGTCGTTATGTGGCATTGCTCCGACATGTAGTACAGTGCGTGCATTCTCTCTGGTTCTTTCGGTAAAGTCACGTTGATAGAAAAAATTATAAAAGAAGACACGACGTTTCGGTCTTCAGGTCAGAAAAACAAGCTGCTGTTGTGGCTTTATATAGGCACGGGGGGGGGGGGGGGTGAAGGAGTTTGTCGAGTCGTGGCTATAAGAGTTCACGGTGGAGAGGGGGGAGGGTTTGTGGCGTGCAGGGACGCGTGGGGCTGGAGAAATGAGCAAGTAAATGAACTTGAATTAGTAATGGGACACCAAGACACACGGGTGGGTGAGTGAAAATCATAGCAGTTAAAACTTGACTCGATTGATCACATCCTTCCAATGATTGCTCAATTTAAATCCATCTTCTCGATGAAAGCTTTGTCTGTGTTTGTATATCTGGATGGCTTCATGAACAAATCTCTGATGGTGGCCCGAGGGTTTGAAGAGCACCTTGGTCTCGGAGAAAATGTCACGTGTGCCCACAGCGTTGAAACAATGATCCGTCACCGCCGAGGTGTTGCTTCTGCCGTGTTTGAAATTCACAAACCCGGTCTGAGACACGTCGCTTCGTTTCACAAATGTAACTCCTCGCATCATGATGGCGGCCAGCGGCGGCGTGTGAGCTGCGTGTGAGTGAGTGAGCTGTGTGTGTGAGCTGTGTGTGTGAGTGAGCTGCGTGTGTGTGAGTGAGCTGTGTGTGTGAGTGAGCTGTGTGTGTGGGTGAGCTGTGTGTGTGAGTGAGCTGCGTGTGTGTGAGTGAGCTGTGTGTGTGAGCTGTGTGTGTGAGTGAGCTGTGTGTGTGAGTGAGCTGTGTGTGTGAGTGAGCTGTGTGTGTTAGTGAGCTGTGTGTGTGAGTGAGATGTGTGTGATTGAGTGTGAGTGAACTGTGTGTGTGAGTGAGCTGTGTGTGTGAGTGAGCTGTGTGTGATTGAGTGAGCTGTGTGTGTGAGTGAGCTGTGTGTGTGGGTGAGCTGTGTGTGTGAGTGAGCTGCGTGTGTGTGAGTGAGCTGTGTGTGTGAGCTGTGTGTGTGAGTGAGCTGTGTGTGTGAGCTGTGTGTGTGAGTGAGCTGTGTGTGATTGAGTGTGAGTGAACTGTGTGTGTGAGTGAGCTGTGTGTGTGAGTGAGCTGTGTGTGATTGAGTGAGCTGTGTGTGTGAGTGAGCTGTGTGTGTGGGTGAGCTGTGTGTGTGAGTGAGCTGCGTGTGTGTGAGTGAGCTGTGTGTGTGAGCTGTGTGTGTGAGTGAGCTGTGTGTGTGAGTGAGCTGTGTGTGTGAGCTGTGTGTGTGAGTGAGCTGTGTGTGATTGAGTGTGAGTGAACTGTGTGTGTGAGTGAGCTGTGTGTGTGAGTGAGCTGTGTGTGATTGAGTGAGCTGTGTGTGTGAGTGAGCTGTGTGTGTGAGTGAGCTG